AGAGAGAACTTTAAGAAATTAATATAGCCACTACAGTGACCATCAGAACGATGAAAAAATATTGCCGTAAACAGTTTATTTTTGCGACACCACGAAACAAACGATAGCGTAAAATGAAACGATAGACGTTTTTATATCGTCATCCGATATATATCGTTATATCGAACAGCCCTACTTGCCTCCCTACATTAGTGCAGTAGATTTTACATCAAATCAAGGCATTTTTATCAGTCAACCAGTTTAATCTGGCCTCCTTGTTCTTAACCAGTGGTTAGCAGCTTGTTGTACACTTTCTGTATTTTGGTTCATGAATGTTTCTGTTAATTAGATTAGACCTTGACAATGAGTGGTGTTGTTCTTGGATAGATGTTGTGAAGGGTTTATTCTTAACCAATAAAATAATCTGTGATAATTTACTTTAGTTTTCTTTTGCATTCTTTCAGGCATTTTGGCATTGCTGAGCTGGCCAGTGCAATCCTGCTTTTTAGCAAATTGTCCACTTCGAAAGTTTTTGCTATAACATAGTGCTATAGCAAGCTTTGACAGCACATCTTAAACTGGTTATGCTTTTTTTTTTTAACTTCAGAGGTTGCTCCTTTGTACAAAAAGCCCGAAATGTAGAGGAAGCAGGAGGAAAAGCAGTCCTTATTGCTGATAACGCAGAGGACAACGACAGTCAGTACCTTGACATGGTCACTGATGGAAGCACTGCCAAACCAAGCATACCTGCTCTTTTCTTGTTAGGACGGGATGGGTGAGAGATGCAGACGCACACACACATAAATTCTGTTGCATTCGAGCAATTATTCTATGAAAAGCAGGGACACCATTTCCTCTTTCTGTATTTTTAGGATGATGATCAGAAGATCTCTTCAGAGACAAGCACTGCCTTGGGCTGTCATTTCAATTCCTGTCAATGTTTCTGCTTTGGCCTCGTTTCCATTCAAGCAGCCTCCTTGGACACTTTGGTAGAAATGACTCACTCACAAATTCATCTAATAAACATTTTCTGTCATTGGTGCACAACATGTAAATTGCAACTAAATCTGAAGCCTCACAAGGACATTTCTGATTATGGTTGGCACGTGCACCTGCGCTAAGTCACTAAGTCTAACATATAGAATGATTGCACTCAGAGCCTGTAGAGTATGGGAGAAACTTGTTTAGCCACTGAACCTGGAACAAATCATCAAATAAAAAACGAAACCTGCATGCTCATTCTCAGTGCTTAGCTAAACTTGTGTGTCCAGGAAAACAGTCTCCAGGAACATGTGATCAGATGCTTTGTATGTCATTTTGGTTACGAAACTGAAAAAATGTTGAGAAACAGAAATTACCTTCCTTCTGTTTTATCAAATAGTCGAAACTGCAGGGGGGAAAAACCAGGCCATGACATTCCTGTTTATGTGCATCAGCTTGTAACAGTGTGGTTCTCTTGTGTGAATGGAAAAAGATTTTTCTCATTATGGATAAGTAGAAACTTCAATTTAAAAAAGAAAAATTGACTTGTTTGATATTTTAGTGCCTTTTGTCTGTGCGTTTTAGTTAGTTCACTGACACATTTGTTTGTAGTTTTGGTAAACAGGACTGATGAAAATTAAAAGCATGAGATGCCACGAATGGCCTTGCTGAAAATAATAATTGACATTGTGATGATATTGCAAAGACATGTTAATCTGCACAAAGTTAACTGGAAGGCAGCTATTGTAAAACTCTAAAGAGAACTTTAACTGCTCTGGAAACACCATGTCAGAGTTCACCCTAGTGAAAATATTTGCCACTACATTATCCTGTATTTTATTTTTAAGAATGTCCTGATTTGAATAGTCTTTGTAAATAAAGTTGTATGTTTAAGGTTGTAAAGACTTTTTTTGTTGGCCAGAAGATAAATACCAACAGTAATTTGGGATGAAAAGTTTTGCCTGGTCAGCTTAAAGTAAAGATGCTCTAGTTCAGCAAATAGTTACAGTGCTCTGGACAATGGAGAAAAGCAGCACTCCAGGTTAGTTAAGAAATAATACTCCATTGTTGTGTATGTAATGAAATTAGAATACCACATACAACTAAAGTGGCAGTGGCCATGGTGACAAAAATAAAAATCCCTGGACCACCAAAATTCAGCACTCAGGGGGGCAAAGGGTATTTTGTCAAACCAGAGATGATGGTAAGGATGTGTAAGCTGTGCAATTGACACCCATGTGGAAAAAAAAGTCTGCGTAATTGGACTGGATGTATGAACACATAATGACTCAGACTGACACTAATGATTGGCCCAAGGCCTGTTTTGGCCTGCCCTGATGAGTTTACAGGCCGCAAAGAATCCGCACAGGCGCCACTCCATCAGCCACTGACGGCCCATATTTATTAAATGGGATACGCTGGCGTCAGTTTTGCGGCTGGTGTACTAACAATGTGCTAGTTTAGAAACAAATATGCAGTTGGTTCATTACAATAATAGTCAGCATTCTACCAAAAACTCCTCTACTAGAAGTTGCTGGGGGCTTTGTGAGGTCCTGATGGACTGATACTCAGATTGAGCACATTTATCTGAAGGAGAGCTGCTTTATTATAAACATATGAAGCAGAAATTGGTGTGTAACACCTGACCTTTACTATAAATAGATGATGGAAATAATTTTTTTTTTTAAAAATTCGACAGATCAGGCTGTGTTTATGAAGAAATGCATAGATATCAGCAGTACTATTTTTGCAGGGTGTTTGAAACTGTAGACACTTAGGAAAGTCAGTGTTACATGATGAGACATCCATACATAAATTACTAACTAAGGCCCTACCTGCATTTTTCTTGACGGCTGACAGCCTATTCCAGCTATCACAGGGCGACTCTAAGGCTAACACAGAGAGACAGACAAGCATTCATACTCACATTCACACCTATCGGCAGTTTAGAATTACCAATTAACCTAACCTGACAGTGATTTCGGTGTAGTATATTACAGGATAGTGAGAAGAAGAAAGACAAGTTAAAAAAAAGTTTTTTAAATAAAGCGATTTGTGGCGTTGTAGAGCTGTATAACGACACGTCTGGTCATTGTGGACTAAAAATCTGAAACACTGCAAACCAATCGGCTCGCTTAAAAAAGTATCTTGTTTGTTTGCGTGAGTTTTGTATTGCGGCTCTGCTGCAGGTTCTCAAATTGGAATTTAAATACGTATTTAATGAGGTCAACTGCAAAAATAACCGTTCGCACAAGTCGACTTTAATAAGTGTCTAGTCTACAGAAAGCACAAGAGCAATGTGCACGTTTACGTCAGACGTCAGACGTTTTGCCAGACGTTTTGTTTTTGTTTACACATTAGACAAGTCAGCTGTTACATACAAATTCTGGGTTAATTCGGTGGAGTAGTGCAGCTCTCCTCTGGATAAATCCAGAGCTCCACCGGGGCTGATGCCCTCAGGACCTCACAGTCAGTCTCTACCAGACGAGTTCACCCCCTGCAGAAAACCATATTGATTTTTCTTCTGCATCTTCTTATTTATCTTAACTGCTACATCGTTTTTAGAGAGAAAGACGTACAGAAAGTATTGAAATGTACTGTTAGTAGAGCTCACAAAGAACTTTTTGCTCCAAAAAAAATCGTATCATCAGTCTAATTTTGCCCCAAAGCTTTCAGTCGAAAAACTGACCCCATTCCTCTTCTTAAACCCCAACAGGAGCTTACTTGATGCCAAAAGAGGGTTTGGGGCTGGCGCAGACCTTTGCTAAATCAGACCCTTAATATTATGATAACAACTGTAGAAAAAAGTTTGTCTTTATTAATGTGTCTGTGAAGGTTCTCAGTCATCCAGGTCATCGTAGTCAAAGGAGCTTGCAAAGAAAAGCGTCTGGACTTCTTTAAGTTACTTGAAGACGTT